TGCATGCCGACAAGATCTTAGAAATGTGGAACTACAGTATAGCTGGGCACATCACAAAACCATGTCGTAGTAACCACAATCCACAGAAAGCATAAATTCCACTATTGGTTGATTCACTTTCACGAGCTGGCAACACTTGAGTGCATGGTAGATTTTTGTGAAATGGCCGTTTTTATCATCTATTCAACAATCTGCCCCAAAAAGAAAATGGAATAGGAAAATTTACTTTCATTTGAGCATGTTTAAAAAGTTATGTTTTTTCATTCCCACTCATTCCTGTCATTTTTAAGCGTCACTTCAGATGCGTAACAACTGACTCATATTTATGGGTAAGCAATGTCCCGGGATCATGTGATCCCCTTTTGCGACTTTCTGACAAGCAAAACCAACGGGGAAGCCAGATTCACTTAACAACCATGTTACTAACTTAACAACGGCACTGATTCACTTAACTGTGGTTAAGAAAGGTTGTAAGATGGAGCAAAACTCATCTAACAGCAATTTGAGGCTCAATTTTGGTCGTACATCAAGGACTTCATTGTACATAACTGTAATAAGGGGAATATGCACTCCGCATCTATGTTTATTAAGGGGATATTTACTCATCACATTTGCCCCAGGAATTCGAGGTGGCATACAAAAAAATCTTTAATTTTTTTTCTCCACCACCGCAACCACGCAAAGTACCGTAGGTTAGGCTGAGAAAGAGTGGGTGGCCCATAATCACAGAGCAGCTTCTGGGGTTAAAGTGGATTAGAATTTGGATCATACCCAGATCAACCCAGGCTCTTAATCATTATATCATACATCAGCTCTCTGTGTCTTTTATCCTAATATCATTTTAATCCCATCATGTGTAATGCAGCAATTTAAGTTTTCATGGATTTCATTCCCCGCACAAAAATGGTCACCCCAGAGAAGAAAAGGGAAATCACCCTCTTGCAAAATCGTGAGAAAGCCATGGGAAGGTTAGGAAAGTGATCAGTAGACCAGTCAATCAGAATAGAACTGGAAGGGACCTTGGAGGTCTTCTAGTCCAACCCCCCCCCTACTCAAGACAAAAATCTTTATACCATTTGAGGCAAGTGGCTGTCCAGCCTCTTCTTAAAAGCTTCCAGTGATGGAGCATTCACAACTTCTGAAGGCAAATTGTTCCACTGATTAATTGTTCTCACTGTCAGGAAATTTCTCCTTAGTTCTA